TCTTGCTCACATCAACATGTTCACTGGACTTTAAATTACAGGTCTTTACACCCTCTTTCAATCTATGCGAGGAATCAATACTGGAATGGTCAAGCCCCAAATGCCGCAGTCTAGTCGAATCACTATACCTCCAGTCAAGTAATACAGGTGATTCCTCCTGACGCCCTTCATCAAAATACGAGAGTCTCTCGTAATCTCGAGAACCATGTCCTCAACACGAACCTTTAGACCCTCTCCAACCAAAGCTCCAATTGAGATCAAGTTCTTCCTCAAAGAAGGAACATATCTCACATCATTTAACTCTCTAACAGTACCGTCAAACATTTTGATGCGAATTCTTCCTATCCCAAGGATCTGGCATGCACGGTTATCAACCATGTACATCACACCACTATCCAGCTTCTCAAAACTAGAGAACCATTCCCTTCTAGGGCACACATGATAGGTCGCACCACTATCCAACATCCATTCAGATTCCTCCGAATAGCTATCTGTAGGACTGATAGAAAACGAATAAATAGAAGAGTCAGAATTATTACCATCCGATACGATGTTTGCTTCTGATGATGGTTGCTTCCCTTTTCCCTTCTGCTTATTCTTCATCCATTCGTCGAGCTTTGGGCAGTCTTTCTTCCAATGACCAGTTTTCTTGCACCAAGCACACTGACTTTTCCAATTGTAGGATGCCCTACTCTAGACTGTGACTTCCAATTCTTCCGGTTCGGATTCTTTCCTCTTGCGACCAGCGCCTCTGCTACCGGCTCAACTGAAGCCTCCTTATCCTTCTTTCGAAGCTGATAATTCACAAGTGCAGCAGTGATCTCACTATACGAAAGGGTTGCCTTCCCATTAATAAGAGTAAGGACGAATGTCTCATATTCCTCGTCTGGCAAGGAACTCAACAACAGCAACGCCTTGTCCTCATCTTCAATCATGACATCCACATTCGCCAAATCCGTAAGAAGCTTAGTGTAGTGGTTCATGTGATCTCTAATGGAGGTTCCCTTCTTCAACTGGAAACGATAAAGTCTCCTCTTCAAATGTAAGCGGTTCTCAACACTCTTGGTCAAATACTTGCTTTCGAGAATCTCCCAAATCTTCTTCGCAGAAGTCTCATTCATCACATCATATTTTAAATCTTGAGTCAAATAAGACCTAATCACACCACACGTCGTTCGATTCATCTTCTTCCAAATCTTCTCTTCAATCTCATCTGGCTTGCCATCTAACTCCAAGGTATCCTCCAAATTCTGCGCGTTCAACGCATCCAAAACCTCGCATCTTCATAATCCAAAATTGTTTGTGCCATTAAACTTCTTCACATCTATCTTCATAGAGTGGATATTCAAACTCTGAATGGTCTTCGCGCCAAAAGCACCACCCTCGACACCCGAAGCACATTCTTTCCCGACATCCTTTCTCACGCACCAACAAACGAAGAATAGATCCAAAACTGAAAAGATAGAGTCTTTATCAAAAGATACCACCTTTATCACCAAACGAAGCCCTAGACGAGCCTCTAAATTGATCTAGTCCTCCAAATAGCCCAAACGTAGCCCGAGCTCTGATACTACTTGTTGTGCGCGGCGAAAATTTCGGCAGAATTTCTGGTGCACAATAATAGAGAAAGATCCCAATAAGAATTCTCGTCTCACCAAGGAGACAAGAATCTGAAGCGAATATCCGTAGGCAGTTTGCCGAACCACGTAAAATTGGTTGTTTGAGTTTGTGGCCATTGTAATAGTTTTTAGGATATCTCGACAAGTCAGTCCTAGAACTGATGAGAGGAAGAGCCGATATCTCACTTTGCTGAGATATTCGCTTCCTCGACAAGTCAGTCCTAGAACTGATGAGAGGAAGAGCCGATATCTCACTTTGCTGAGATATTCGCTTCAGATTCTTGTCTTCTTGGTGAGACGGGAATTCTTATTGGGATCTTTCTCTATTATTGTGCACCAGAAACTCTGCCGAAATTTCCGCTGCACACAACAGAGCTCTCATGCATTCATGCTCTAAGGAGGAGAATTATAAATAAATAAATAAATAAATAAATAAGAAGAAGAAGGAGGAAAACTGCATTTCTAAGAGCTCTCATGCATTCATGCTCTAAGGAGGAGAATTATAAATAAATAAATAAATAAATAAATAAGAAGAAGAAGGAGGAAAACTGCATTTCTAAGATCATTGATAGAAAGTTCAAGAAAAAAAAGGATGAATGCGTGTAAGTCAATTTAGTGATGTTTAAGGTCAACATGTATACTTATTAAGATAAGAAAAATAATGAAGGCTACTTCCAACTAACTAAATTTCTATAGTTCTCACTGTACCCCCCTAACATATTTTTTTAGTGAATATTTTTGTTAGTTTCATAGAAATATCATTCTTTTTCTATTTTAAAAAAAATGTAAACCGTATAAAATTGACCAGGGAGCTGTTGTTGGTGAAGGCAAGAATCAGATAACCAGTGAGGCAACAGTCATACAAACTAATTATGTCATTCACGTAAGGTCGATCTAGCCACAAAAACAAGGAAAATTCTTTACCCTAAGCATGCAATAGGTTTAAATTTTTTCACCAGCTTCAAAAGACGAAGAATCAATTACCTTGTCAACTCAATAAACCTATGACTTGTATAGACGTCAACATGCAAGAGAGCGTATAATCCCAGCTTTCAAAATCCTGGAAACAATCAGAAAAAGGTAGGGTCAGGAGAGTTACCAAGAATATATGACAGAAAACATATAGAGCAAAGTTTTGTATCAGACTGCCCATAATATAGCACAACAGTTTAACTTCTCCGATTTTTCATCAGCTCAGTAATTTCTATACAGAACACCTGACTGATCCCCTACACACCAAAACTCAAAAGATATAAGAGGATGCAGTCATCAGTTAAAAAATTGATTAAATGAGACAGACAAGATAGTATTCATCTACAATAGAATAAGCCAACGAGTTCAAGTAGTTTGTTATTGATTATTTTCGATAATGAAAATAAAAACCGTACAATACAAATAGAACAACATTTTTTCATAATAGGAAATAACACCCTTTACTGTACATATCCTAATATTCTTCTCATAGGAATCTATATAATAACACATAGAATGCAACAATTCCATCATACAGAGAATGTTCTACTTATGTTCAATGCTAAGACTTAACATCAACTGGGAGCAACCAAATTAATCAGTTTTGATAGTAACCCGTGCTTCACCATGCACGGTGAATCTATCATAGCCAGAATGGAGCAAGGCATGCATCTGTTCGCCAAGGTAGACGACTCCGAGCACCCAAAGCTCTGCAACTGGCAGATGCCTGCAACCATAGGAACCCGTGAATTAGCTAGATGAAATGTTAAAAAGATAAAACTCTGTTACTGATCCAATGTGAAAAAAATTCAGCAACCAAATATGAAAATTAGAGACAAGAGAAGGCTCCTACTACTGTTGAGGCAAAAGGCACCGTCTTCTCATGTGGCATGCCTACACATAAAGCTGAAACAAGCCAAATAAAGATCAATAATATATGAAGTGCAGAATATATTACATGGTTTATTAATAGATATGATGAAAATTCTAGGGTACTATGAATCACCCTAATGCTAGCATGAAGCAGTGATACACCAGAAACATGAAGTGAAGTTTTAAACGAACCCTATAGAACTGCTCCAATGAAAGCATCTCCAGCGCCGGTAGCATCTATTATATCTGGAGGAGGTATCGCCTCTGCTGTTCTTAATGGAAGCCTCCCATTGACTGCACCAATTCCGTCTACTCTGACTGGAATAAGGAAATGGATTGAGGACATATTTAGAATGCCAAAACTTCAGTGGAGGTCCTTCACGTATTGGTCAAATATCATCTAGGTCATTTATATATGAAAGTCATCATTAAAGGTCCTTAATGGTGTCTCCTCATCAGCCAAGGTCTTTTCTACAAACTTTAGTCAAATCTTGTTGATGTGTCGGTGACATGGTAGGAAAAAATTTACAATTTAGTAAATTTTTTGTCGACTGGATGCCCTCCCTCTTTCTTCTTGCTGCCTAGACCAGAAACCTCCCTTCATTTTCCCAACTGAATCAAATTTCTGGTTATGGACAGCAAGAAGAGAGAGAGCGAGACCAAGCAGCAAAAAATAGTGAAATTCTTCTCCTGCCTCGTCACTTGTATGTCAATAAGGTTAACAAGAGTGTGTAAAAAGTACACGGGCTGATGACAGAGGTAACATTAGGGACTCCATAAGATGATATTTGGCCAATACATAAGGGACCTCCATTCAAGTTTCTCCTTCTAGACTCATGGAAATTTAAGGAGTTGGAATGACTAAAAGCGATATTTGACAGTAGTGACATGTACCTTGGATAAGATGCACGTTGGACTAGCACAACTTGGACCAACTTGCTGCTTTAATGACTTTAATAAGCTCTCTACATCTGTTTCCTCCTCATCTGGAAGCTTATGAGAGCACTGAAGAGGATTCTGATAATTAAGCTATATATGGACAAGGTAAGCAATATCTCAACCTTTCCCTTGAAACTTTAATACTCGATTTATGTCACACTACACTGACCTTCTATGCTTCTCTCAGGCATTAAACAATCTTTCTCTCCAGAAGTCCCGATACACGCCTGAGATTAGGCAATCTCAGAAGCCTGGATACTAATGCACTTGGATTGGATGGAGCGCCAGTCCATTGCTGCATGATAATCTTTTGTTAGATTGACAGAATCAGGAACCACTCACGATATGCATATTAAATATGTACAACATATTTTAAATCAAAATCCTTAGTTTTTGGGTATGCAAATAAACATCCACCTGAGATTTGACATAGTTCTAACAATATCAGTACACTATTTCATGTTTAAAGGAAAGGTAAAAAAGTACCACAGTACCACTAATATGCATAAATCCAACAAAAAGGTTTAACAAGCTAGTGGACCTCAAGCTAATAAATTATTCTCAAGATGGAATCCATGAGTTTACTAGCTTTCTTGCCTGCAGAAATTTTTCTGAGCAAACAAGATATGATGTGATGCTAACTGCTAATAAGATCATCCAAACCCTCCCTATTCTTTCAGAATCAATTAAAATAGGTATTTTCCTCTGGGCTGCCTGCACTGAAATCCAGAAGGACAGGTTAATTGAGTGGGAAAACAATTAGGAACAAGCAATTATCTAGAAAAGAAAAAAAATAAAAAAAAAAAATCAAGTGTTTAAAAAACTAAAGTGTTTCAAAAACTAAAGTATTTTACTCTCAGTACACAGTACAATCTATTGGATGTGATTGTTTCTCTGAGAACAAATGACTGAGAGCATTAAACTTAGATCAGCCATGTCAAACAGTTAAGGTGATTCCTCAATCAGAGAAATTTTGGCCATCGAAGTAGATTTCTAAGCATTTTCAAAGTTTGCCCATTATGAGTTTCCCTGTAGAATTTAGATTACAACAAGCACTGATGCATTATTTAACTGTTGGCATAATTTTACTAAATGGCAATTACCTCTTGCGCTACAACTAAAGTAGTCTCATGTAATCTCCCATCAAAGTATACCAGTTTTGCTCCATCTAATGCCAAAGTAGTTTCAACTTCGAAAGGTCATCTGGTGCAATTGCAGGGTAACCAGAGGTATGTATATAAGTACAAGTTTTTTTTGGAAATATAGCAATAAATTAAACAAAAAGTTTCCGTTCTAGAAAATCATTTTAAAAACTTCAACTATTTAAGCACCTAGAGCATCTTCCTTTGCATTGCTTTAGCTATACAGGATTTGCAAATTAGATAAACAATATACAAAAGCAAAACTGGCAGAGATTAAAGAGGTTTTGCATCTTTTCGCATCATCATTTCCCTATTACCAACACCAGATTGTATTTGTTAAGTCAAATCATTTTAGTAACCACACATGGAATCAGATTATAATTAGTAAAAACAGTATGATAGACTAAAATACGTCGAACTTGAAGATGAAACAAAACGCTCTTACATCTGATTGTCAAGAATTATTTAGGTAAATGGTGAATTTCCCCCCTCTGATACCTAGAAATATAGAGAACTTATGTCAAAAAACAAACGAAAAAGGTGATATTTAATATTTGTTGGGGAAAACGGGGTGATTGATTGATCTTTTCCTCTTCCCTTGTAGATAAAATGGATTTATAGGGCAAATAATCACAGAAAATAATTAGCTGGACACTAGTATTTTTAACGTGGAAAACCCTTAGGTTAAAACTAAATGACCTAGTCTAGAAAAATCTTCTGCTATGAATATAATGAGTATACAAAGTTTCCTCTCTAGATACTTGGCTAGAGGTACACCAGCAACAAACAGGATGGAAAAGAGGACTTCTCCTCCATTAGAGAAGGAACATAAAAAAGACTCTCTTTTTTTGTTCTTTTTTCCTCTCCCTGCCACTCAAATTCTCTATGATTTGAGCTTTTTTTTTTTTACTTTGTTGCTCACTAGTTTGCACTTCCTTGAACCGATGAATTTCAGAACTATTTATAGAAGGTAATATTAGAGAGAACATGACATTATTATGCTTCTTAAGGTGTGCTATACACTAAGGCTAGCTCACCATCTTTAAAAAAAATTCTCTATGAGTTGCATCAATCAATCACCAACTCAAAGAAAAAATGTGTCCCTCTAAAAATAGATAGGCTCACACAACAATTCTCCCTCGCCTGACTATTTGGAGAGGTCCATCTCTAATACCTTTAAGTAAATGTCAAGCTTGTCCTTGGAAATAGCCTTTGTCATCACATCGGCAGGACTCCTACCGGTATGAATCTTCTCCGGTAGTATATGCTTCTCTTCTGTTACATCTCACAACCAGTGGTATCTCACATCAATGTGCTTCGTTTGGGAATGATATATACTGTTCTTGTTGAGATCAATAGTGCTTTGACTGTCACAATGCACGATATACTCATCCTGCTTCAAACCCAATTCCTAGAGAAATCTTTTCATCCACAGGACCACAGCATTTTTTCCCTACTCTGTAGTTGTGATATACTCTTGCTTCCGTTGTGGATAAAGAAATACACTTTTGCAATTTGGATTGCTAAGATTCAGCTCCCCCTGCAAAAATAAATAAATATCTAGATGTAGACTTTCTGTTATCGAGATCACCTGCAATGTCTGCATCTGTATAGCCTTCCAGAATTAGTTTGAACTGTCAAATATCAAGCACAACCTTGAACTGCCCTTCAAATAACAAAGAATCCACTTCACTACTTTCCAGTGTTCTTTTTCAGGGTAACAAATATCTGCTTATAACACCAACTGCATAAGCAATATCCAGTTGTGTGCATATCATAGCATACATCATATTCCTAACCATTGAGAAGTATGGAACATCCGTCATTGCTTTCTTTGCTTCTTCAGTAGTTGGACAATCTCTCTTGTTAAGTTTAAAGTGCTTTGCAAGAGGCATGCTAACAGGCTTAGCACCTTTCTTTTTGAATAGTTCAAGCCCCTGTTCAACACACTTCTCCTCAGATAGTCATAATTTATTTGCTTTCCTATCCTAAATAATTTGTATGTCTAGTATTTAGCATGTTGGCCCTAAATCTTTACACGAATCATCTTTGCATCATGTCCAACTATGAGTATATCATCAACATAAAGTAAAAGAATGATGAAGTTAACTTCTGAGAACTTTCGGATGTAGACACAAGAATCTGCAGCTGTACACGTGTACCCATCATCATAAATGAGTCAAAACTTCTTATATCACTGTCGTGGTGCCTGTTTGAACCCATAAAAGTTCTTTTTTAGCTTACTGACCATATTCTCTTTACCTTTTACCTTGAATCCCTCCGGTTACATTATGTAAATCACCTCCTCTAAATCACCATGGAGGAATGCGATCTGCACATCGAGTTACTCTAACTCGAGATCTTAGCTCGCTGCTAGACCCAGAATCGTCCTGATAAATGTCATCCTCACAATTGGAGAGAAATTTTCGTCAAAGTCGACCCTTTTTTCTCACGAAAGTTTTTGACGACCAACCGTGCTTTATACTTTAGCGTTTTTTCTGTCTTTTTTAGTTTGAAGACCCACTTATTCAGCAGTATTCTTTTACCCTTAGGAAGTCTCACCAACTTATAAGTATTATTCTTATGTAAGGAATTCATTTCTTCGTGCATCTCTTGGATCCAGCTGTCATTGCCTCTATGAGATTGAGCCCCTGAAAACACACAGACTTCCCATCATTATAACTAAAATGTATTCAATAGAAGGATACCTTGTAGACAGTTGACAGACTCTCTCGGACCTTCTGAGCTGAGGTCCTTCACCTTCTTGAGAACCAGATCTTCATGTTCATCAGCTTCTCCTTGGTCACCATCGCTCACAACATCATCAATGTTGTCCATCTCTAATATGTCTTGCACGTGGTTGTGCACATCTCCCCCTGCCGTAACATCCTTTAGTAGGGAAGGGACTGTCATGGTATTGAAATCTCCATCAAGCTCACCATCTGACTTCTCGTCGAGTGTTTAACTTTCTTCTTTATAGGATCTCATAACTTGTACCCGAATTCTTCATTTCCATAGCCAATAAAGACGCATGGAATAGCCTTTTCATTAAGCTTCAATCTATGCTCCTTTGAAACATGTGCAAATGCTTTGCATCCAAACAGCTTTAGATGAGAGTCGAAGACATTTTTCTTTGTCCATACCCTTTTTGGATTATTGAATGATAAAGGAACCGATGGACATCAGTTGATCAAGTAGCACACTGTGCGAGCTGCTTCTCCCACAATACTTTGAGAAGTTTTGCCATCTTTAGCATGCTTCAGACTCTCCATGATGGTGTGATTCATCTTCTCTATGACACAATTGGGTTGAGAAGTAGCTGGTACAGTCTTTTTATATCGTATACCATGACAAAGGCCATTCCCAGGGACAAATTTGACCTTTGTGCATAGCTAGCAGAAAACGGACCTCTCTAAATAGCCGGAAGGGGGAGAATTATTGTGTGGGTCCCTTTTATTTTTAGAGGGACATTTTTCTTTGAGTCGATGATTGATTGATGCAGCCCATGGAGAATTTTTTTCAAAAATAATGAGCTAGCTCTAGTGTATAGATCACATTAAGAAGCGGAATAGTGTCTTGTTTACACTAACGTCACCTCTTATAAATAGCTCTAAAATTTATCAGTTCAAGACAGTGCAAGCTAATGAGCAACAAAATAAAAGAAGCCCAAATCAAGAGAGTTTGAGTGGTAGGAAGAGAAAAATAAAAAAAGGAGATGGTCTATTTTTTATTCATTCTCTAGTGAAGAAGTCATCTTTTCTATCTCGTTTGTTCTATCTCGTTTGTTACTGGTGTACCTCTAGCCAAGTATCTAGAGAGAAAATTTTGTATACCCATCATATTCATAGCGTAAGATTTTTCTGAACCAAATCCCATGGTTTTTTACCTTCAATTGAAGGGTTTTCCACGTTAAAAATATTGGCGTCATGCTGGTTATTTCCTATGGTCATTTGATTATTATTTGCATTATAAAGCTATTTTATCTACAAGGGAAGGGGACAAGATCAATTATTTTAATAACCACATGGAATCAGATTATAATTAGTAAAAACGGTATGATAGACTAAAATACATATCTAACTTGATGATGAAACAAAAAGCTCTTACATCTGATTGTCAACAATTATATAGGTAAATGGTGAATTTCCCCCCTCTGATACCTAGAAATATAGAGAACTTATGTCAAAAAACAAACGAAAAAGGTGATACCCCCCCCCAACACACACAAAAAAAAAGAAAAAAAAATATGGAGTAACTTATGGCAGAAAACAAACGAAAGAGGTGATATTTGGTATTCTCCCATTCATTATTTCAAATAAAAAAGCTGCAAAATTTTATAAGGTTGAGTGAAATGGGGGGAAAGCTTACCACCATTCCTCCCTTTGAAAATCATTAGCAACCTAAGAACAAAAATTAGATAGTCACAAATACTTTTTTTCCCTCCAAAAAATTCAGGAAAAAGATCGAACCTTTGAAATAATCCTAGGTCTAAGGCCCAACCGAGCGGCACAAGTCAAAGCGTTGCCCACATTTCCACCTCCTTCAACCTGAATATATCACAGAAAATAAATTATCATCTAATTTCAACAAATGGATCAACTTTCATTTTAATTTAACAAAAAATTGTGACAAAAATTTACAAAGAGACCCCCGAGTTCGTGCTTCTGATCTTATCATCGACCTTCGGGAACCCCGCCACCGTCGCCAAGTAATCCGCCGCCGCCGCACCACATCCCAACTGGAAGTGAAGATTGTCAAGGACTAAATTGGAAAAAAACGTAAAAGAATCAATTTTTAGGGTTTTAAAATGCACCACGATGGGGTTTTCTGGAGGAGGAGGAGGAATAGTGGACTGAGATGAAGAAGACGATGACGACGACACCTCGGCAATAGTAAAAGTTCCAGGGTCTTGATAGAGTGAAGCTTTTGCGGGATTAGAGAAAGGAGGAATTTTCAGTATAGGCCCATTCATAATTTTATTCACAAATTTCAAGCCACTTCTCCCCAGTTTCGGCAGCAGTGTGGCTAGAAAAAAACATAAAAAATATATATTTTCTTAATTAATCAAGGTTGGTATCCCTGACTAATTAGAAGTCGCCTCTAATCAGTCGACGGGTAGGGGATCCCGACTAATTAGATATGACTTCTAATTAGTCGGGATCCCCAACCCCAACAATTTAGAAGTGATTCCGCCACCCGTCTCTCTTTTGTTATTTGTCCAAATTTTTAGAGATCTACCAACCCCAACAGAATATCCCCATCTCTCTTTTATTGGCTCCACAATAATCTGTCTTCCTTCGTTTTTCGTATTCTTCTCTTCCTTTTCCTTCTTGTTGGTAACGATCCCAAATTAGGGTTTTAGAGATCCAATCTCGATTATGGTGGGCTTCGTGCTGCCCTCTTCTTCTCCTAAAGCAACCTAGGTTTTCTTCTCCTCTCTCTCTGTCCTCTCCTTCGATCTCTCTCTCTCTCTTCTCTCTCTCTCTCTGATTAACCAAATCAAGGGTTTTGATTGATTGTTTTAATGCAGGTATGGTAGTAACGTACAGAACAAACGAAAGCGTGTCAAAGTGCGTCGACGGAAGTGATGAGGCATAGCTCTCGACCGAAGTCAACGTAGTTCGTTGTCATAGTGGACGTTCTGGAATTCTCTACAGTGATATATCTATATCATCCGTTTTTGGGAATCTAGATTCTTGATTCGGCCTTTCGCTAGTGGTGGGTCAAATCACTTTCCTCGGGTTTGGCAATCCCCGACTAATTAGAAGTCATATCTAATTAATACGGCAGTCGCCCCAACCCCGAACCTGTTAAATGCTACTAATTAGGCGGTTGCAACCGCCTCCTAATTAAGAACATGCGTTTTCTTAAAATCAACCTAGTTTTTTGCCACACTGCTGACGACTGACGTGACTGAAACTGGGTCGATTTCTCTAAATAAAATGGGAGTGGGTAGAAATTTTGAATAAAATTAGGAATGGGTCTATATAGAAATTTCTTCGATGGAGAAAGCAATACATATTTTGGATTAATTTCACATAACATTCCTAAATGTTTAGGGCGTTTAATGTAAGCCCCTTGAACTTTGTTTGTCTAACTTAGCCTACGGGTGTCGCATGACCCCCACCCCCATCCCCCGCAAAAAAAAAAAAGAAATTGTATTTTGTAATAACTAGAAGTCATAGACCACGTACCCCTTCCTCTAAATTTTGAGTTTTTTTCTCTCAAGAAAGTTTCATTCGGTACAAATTAAAAGTTACAAGGTCGGGTGAGAAATGCTCAAAGTTTAGGAAGGTGTGTGAGATACTCCAAATTTCAAGAGGGTTATGTGAGATAAACAAAGTTCACATGGATTATATGAGAATCCCCAAAGTTCAGGGCTGTTATGTGAAATTAATCCTAATATTTTTGTTCTTTTTTTATAGGAAAAATATGTAAATATCATTTTTATTCTTGATGGTGTTTTTGAAAAACAAACAACAAGAACGTTATCTATATACTACGTTTATTTTAACTCCAATGCAAAACCTTAAAATCATTCTTCATACTATAGTAAATACTATTCTTGCTAAAATATACTTCAGAATATTAAACCCTCTTTTAGCAACAAAGCAATTTTGAATCTAAAAAACTGTTCATGCTGAAATTTAATGCACTATTCATGCTACAGTAAAAAAATATTTTCCTCATTGTCCTTGTTCGACCGAAGGTAAAATTTTTTTACCTTTAAAATATTATTTGTATCTTCTTGTTCTTCCTTCCTCTCTCCTAGTAGATGATGATTTTAACCTTTATCAAACATTTCACTTATATAAATTTTTTTGACTCTATTGAAAATATTGATAATACTTGCTAACTGATTTTTTAGCTGATTTGAAGACTCACTCTGTAAATAATAGTAAAAAATTGTCGCTGGAGCTTTTATTAATATAATTATATTCAAACCCCATATTATTAATTTGTCAACAGATATATCTCAATAAACAATGCCCGCAACAACATGCAGCCTTAATACTAGTAAACTGGATTACAATGAGAATTGAAAAAGCCTCATTGTAAATGCATATTATACGGATAAATTTTCAAAATCATCCGCTTTTGAAATTTATTTTTAAAAAACGACTCATTTCAACCTTAATTTCAAAAACCAACCCAGTTGGTTGAAACTGGGTCGGTTTTTGAAAAAAAAAAATCCAAACTTCACGGGAGTTGAACTCCCATGAAGTTTTGTTATGAGAAAAAACTTCACAGGAGTTCAACTCCCGTGAAGTTTGGAAAAAAAAAATTCAAAAACAAACCCAGTTTCATCCAACTAGGTCTGTTTTTAAAATTAAGGTTGCAAGGGGTCTTTTTTTGAGAAAAATTCAAAATGGGATGGTTTTGAAAATTTGTCCCATATTATACTTCTAGCATACTTGGGTATGTTCTCACTTTTCAGCTAAATTTTATCTTGTTTAATTCAGGTCCAACCTATATAAATAAATAAATATAAAATTTATTAATTATAGCAAAGCTTGACTTATTCTCATACTAAAATACATTAACATGCATCTTGCATACGAATAAATTAGGACGAACATAAACAACAGATTATATAGTTTTCTAATGCCAATCTCATGAAAAATGTCAGATAACTAAACCAAAAGTAGAACAACAAAGTATTAAACTTGTTGAACCTAATTAAGTTTGCCTCTATAATTAGTCAATGCTTTGTCTCCTCCTTTGTCACAGCCAAAAGCTGTCATCTCCATCGCTGCTATATCATTATTATTACCTGTTGGTCTTGGATGTGTAGACCGAAAACCTGGAATCAAAAATCAACAAGTGGCAGAAAACCCAAACAGCAGTCGACTGATGGAAGAACCCCAGTCAACTGACGCGACTGTAGGAAACAAAGTTGGAAATCACACTCTGGTAAGTCGAACGACACAAGGCAACCAGTCGACTGATTCGTGCACGAGCAACCCTGTAGAAAACACAGTTCTGGCCAGTCGACTGATGCATGTGCATCAGTCGACTAATGTCGGGTCAGGCACTTTCCTAGTTCGGGTTGGACTCTTGTTTGAGCTAGAGTTTGTACATATATATTTGGGCGTTCTTTTGAGGGATTGTACACGAAAAGATGAGGGTTTTGAAAACACTTTGAGATCAGAGATCTTAGAGAGAGAGAGTGGTCGTTTGTAGGCATTGTAATCTTCATCAATATTAAAAGAAATTTCCTGGTGTGGCTCTCGAGGACGTAGGCACGTTTCCCGAACCTTGTTAAATCTGGTGTTCTCTCGTTGTTTTATTCTTTCCTGTAAGCTTTCTTTTATTTGCTGTGATATCTTACTTGCCTACTTTCAACACAAGATCTGGAGGTTGTCGTGTTGTTTCAACCCCAACAACTGGTATCAGAGCTTCATTCGGTAAAGATTTGTGCTATAGTTATGGCAGAAGAAAGCAAATCGAAGATTAAAAAGTTTGACGGATCAGACTTCGCCCACTGAAAATCGCATATGGAGGACTATCTGTACCAGAATGATCTTTATCGTCCCTTGATGGGCAAAACCAAGGGAAAAAAGAAGGAGAAATCAGACGAGGATTGGAAAATACTAGATCGGAAGGCTCTAGGATAGATTCGGTTGTCGCTCGCCAAATCAGTCACCCACAATATATTGAAGGAGAAAACGACGGTGGGGCTTATAGAAGCGCTTGCGAAGATGTACGAGCAACCGTCAACCGCAAAACAATGTGCATCTCGTCAAGACACTCTTCAACCTCAATATAGCAGAAGGATACTCCTTCACGTTGCATCTCAGCGAGTTTAACACGATCGTTGATCAACTTATCTCCATCGACATCACGTTTGATGACGAAGTGCAGGCCCTATTGATTCTATTGCAGCTACCAGATAGTTGGGCAGGTTGCGTGACCTCAATTAGCAACTCGGCAGGGAAGGAGAAGTTAAAACTGAGCGAGGTTGTTAGCATGATTCTATCCGAGGAGGTTAGAAGGAAATCGTCCATCAGAAGGTTCAGGCTCAGCCCTAAATCTCGAGCAGAGAGGCCGAAGCCAGAAGAAGGGTAACTAGAACAGGAATCGGTTGAAGTCGAAGAAGAAGAGGTTGAACTCGAAGATGAGGCCTATCAAAGGGAAGTGTTTGAACTGTGGCCAGAAGGGTCATATGTCTTCAGTCTGCAAAGCACCAAAGAAGGATGCGAATGAGCAGGAGGCTCATATCGTGCAAGATGTCTTGATCCTTGCTATGAACAGTAATTCCGATTTATAGGTTATTGATTCAAGAGCCTCATTCCACGCCACTACTAATAGGAAGCTTCTTCAGAACTATGTAGCATGAGACTTTGGAAAAGTTTACTTGGGGGACAACGAGCCTTACAATATTGGTGAAAAATGCGATGTGCAAATTCAGATGAATGGCTCTAAATGGAATCTGAAGAATGTCAAACATATACCGAAGCTGAAAAGGAATTTTGTTTTGGTTGGCCAGCTTAGAACGGAAGGCTAAATTTTAACATTCACTAAGGATTCGTGGAAGATCTCCAACTGTACTATGGTGGTTGCCCGTGATAAAAAACCAGGAACTCTCTACCTTACTTCACATGCGAGTGACACCCTCACAATTGCAGCTGGTAAGGAGAGTACATATCTGTGACACAATATGTAGGGATACATGAATGAGAAAGGAATGAAAATTCTACACTCTCAAGGAAAGCTATCTGGCATCGATTCAGTTAAAGTTGGTGTTTGTGAGGATTGCATCTACGGGAAGCAAAAGAGGGTCAGCTTTCAAAAGAGTGGAAGACCACCTAAAGCTCAGAAACTAGAGCTTATTCATACAGATATTTGGGGTCTAGTTAGCGTATCTTCTCTTGGCGATTTGGCATACTATATCACCTTTATCGATGATCACTCGAGGAAGGTGTGAGTATACTTCATGAAGCACAAGTTATAGGTGTTTGAGATCTTCAAGAAGTGAAAATTCATGGTAAAGAATG